GGCTATTCACTTATTTGAACAGCTGTAAGAAGAACCGATATGAGATTTTCAAAATTATCTTGGGACAGATGAAACCATGGCAGTCCAGAACGCAATAGCAACTGGCTGGTCCAAATCTTGAAGGACACTCCCCAATACCCCTCACCACTTGTTTGACTTCATTGGGTCCAATTGTCAAAGGGGGAGTCAACCGGATGATATTTGAATTGGTCGCCTTGGCCAGAACACCTTGTGATTTCATCAACAGACAAAGACAGCTCGTCCGCATGGGTTCCTCCCGGCGAGGTGGTACACAAACCAGCTTGTCGGAAGGGATTCCTTCCGACGAGCTGGTGCTCTCGTCGGGAGGAATCCCTCCGATGCCAATGTATTGTTATTATTATTAGTGGCAGGAGTATTAACGACTCCATAGATTAGTTTCCTAGCTTTCAACTCATCCATTCCGGGCAAAGCCTTCAAAACTTTGTGCGCAGAACTGCAGATGCCAAAGTTCTGATTCTGTTGGGTCTTGTTAATCGCCATCAAGTCCAGTTTGCCCTTCTCGCCCTTCGAGATGCCGTCCATTCCAACCAGACTAGCCGTCTCGGCATCCGGCTCTGGATGTGTCAGTTTCAAGTCTTGGAAGATCTCGGCTGTTGCTGATGGCGATGACGACCAAATCAACCTCAACTTCTTGAACATCAAGGTCAGCAGGACTAGTTTGGCTTGTAAATCCGAATCCGTTGGGGCTGCAGTGATTGTACTTTTCTTGTTTCCCCTTGTTTCTTTGTAGTCTTCATCATCACAAATCTGATTTCAGTCTCTCATCTTTTTTTAGATTTAAAATTCATAAGGCCGCAAACCTCGAGTGTATTGATTCTTTCATCAAATTCGATCACATATCGGCGTTTATAATGGGCTGACATCATTTCACACTGTTGATATCTAACAAAAATAAAACAGATATTACAAAGAAGGAGGTGATTAACTAATCCAAGAGCGAGAAGCGACGAGCTGGTGCTCTCGTTGGGAGGGAGTCGGACTCCTCCCTGACGACCTGGTTTGAAATCCAGCTCGCCGAGAGGAACCCCTCCCGACGAGCTGGTATGTACACACTACACCAGCTCGCCGGGAGACATTCCTCCCGGCGGCGTGGCCTCTCCTCTCTAGGCTGAGGGGGGCCCAGTTATTTTTATTTTCTTGTTTTTTGTAATAAAAAAAAAAATCCCCCTCGCCGGCGTCAACCAGTAAGAGGGCGGGTATCCGCGGATACCCGCCAGCGCCAGCGGATGCGGATGCCTGATTCCGCTGAAATTGGCAGCGGATATCCGCATCCGTGCGGATATCCGGATCCAACGCGACCATCTCTAGCAGTGACTGTGCCTACTGCTGCAGTCACGCACGCGCATTTGTCAAGGTGACGCTTACATGCCCATGGGGAGCAAGACCCAAATGACTGTGGTGTCACTGTAGTCGAGTTGGGAAGAACCTCCACCACCAACTGCTCACCTGGGTTCAATTCCTTGTCTGCACCAAGACCCAAATTCACATACCTAAAATTCTGGCTGGAATTTTTTTGGTATCATCAAGACAAGACATGAGTTCCACTCCTGTCCTTGGCTACAAAAGCTTGACAAATGAAAAATTTCTTTCAAGCTTTTTTATCATTTAAGAAATCAACTACAAAATTCTGGATTTCTTTTCATTCTTAAGTGGTCTCCAAGAATACGAACCATTAAATTCCAAATAAAACATATTTTTCTACAGTCACAGTTCCCCTCCTGGTCAAGTCAAATTTTTCCTCTGGCCATTTTACATCAAATCAACACCGCTCAAGCCAATAACATACACGCAAGGCTGGGTCTCTTTCAAGGTTTTTTTTGGTAATATTATTTCAATTCCTTTTGTGTTCAAATACATATCTATGCCCGCTCCTGTTGTCCTTGCCATGGTTGAAGAAGCCCCACCTGCTTGAAATTGGGTCAGATGTAACCCAGAACTGGGCCAACCAATTACAACTATATCAGTAATCCAATTTTGGTTACTAATTCAATCCATTTTCCAAAATACATGAGGTTGATTTGTTATCAGCCATTTCTTGCCCACATCCCATTGATTTTTCAATTTCTCTATAGTGGACGACTTGCCGTCAAATCTGCGGGTCTCCCAGAAGCAATTTAGAGGCCTTGAAAGCTAGATTTCCCAGTGAAATTCTAGACTTTTTGGGTCTAAATTGACATCTGTGAGGGTCCCAGATCTGACAGGAAGTCCTCCAGTGTTACATATTTTTTTACACTAGGGAACTCGCGGCTCCGCCGCGCTTAGGCCTCCACTCAGCCTAATCACCTTGAACAAGTATTAAGCAACTGTAAATTACCCTCTTTTTGACCCCAAGAACCTGGTCTATTACCTGACACCCCGTGAATTGAGCCCTCTCCCCCCCACCGGGCCTGGCAACTATTCACCGGTCTATGACTTCAAGACTATTGTCCCACCTTTGTATCACAATTACCTTGCCAATTCAGGTACAATGCTTTTTCTCAATCACCGGCTCAGCTTTACTTGACGGGAATCAATAATTTTATGTTCAACCTATCCCAGTCATTGGCCCATAGGTCATCTTAAGTATTATTCCGGCGTTGTTCACCCCAGACGTGACCCCTGAGATAGCTACTGATTCCGGATTAGATATTGCACCGGTACTTCAATCTGAACCTAACCCTAACCCCGGAGTCATCATGGCACAGCGCAAAAGAGACGGGAGGTGTCTGGCTACACGATCCACAAGAAAGCTGAGAGCCAAGAAAGAAGCACCAAGAAAGAGAGACCCAGATCTCCGGGTAACCCAACACAAAAACAGGAAAGAGGAAAAACAGCTAACCGAGAAGAAGGCTAAAAATCTGCCAAGTGCATACACCCCAGAGACACCAAAACCCTCCCAAAAAAAAGAAAGCGAAAAAGAGAGGAAGAGATGACGGACCTTGACGGAAGATGCTCAGATTGGCAAACAAGAGCAGGATGTGCGCACAGGACAAAGAGGGGCGGCAACGGGCTGAGACCTCTTCTCCGCTTCCTCCTGTCCTCGACGCCCCCCCCCTCTTCTCTTCCTCTCTCTCTAATTCCTTGCTCGAGATCCGCAATCGCTCAAAGTCAGTTTGCTTCTTGCGTCCCTGAGCCTCCTCCTTCTCCTCCTCCTTCTTCTTCTTCCGCTATCCTTCCGCTGCTTGGTTTGTATATATAATCATTTTTTTCACGGGGTTGCGGGTTGTGGTTTGTAGGAAAAAAAGGATGCGGATGGGGGTTGGATTATTAGTGAATTGAATGGGTTGAGGTCTTGTTTTTTTGGGTATGTATGAGGTCATTTGAGGAAAACAATGTGAATGATTGGTGCCCGGTAAGATGTGAATGTGGCAATGGAATTTTGGAGGGAGCCGGAAAAGGAAGGAACATATCTTCAGGTGTGAGGATGAATTTTATTGGAGACAAATAAGGAGATGGAGCAGTCAAGGATGGGTTCAGATGTTTTGGATCAGTCATGAGATTCGCCTGATGAATGAGAAAGGAGATGTAAATAGATTAGGGTTCCGGAAAATGATGATCGGAATAAGAAAGCAAGTGAGATTCGAGGATGAAAAGCAATGAAGTCAACCGACTATGGAAAAATGTTGGTCAAAGGTGCGGCCAGCTAAGGATGGTGGCATCCTGAAATTGGACCAAAGATTGGGATAGGAAATGTAAATACTTGTGACGTGCAGACGGTGAGTTGCAGGGGCCAAAAAAAGATTTATCGGTGGTCGAGAATGGGAAGAGGGCGTGGTGCGGTGGAAATCAGAGCTGGAATGACCAGACGCAAAAACCGGTTGCGGGTTAAGCAGTGAGGGGGCATGGGGGTGG